TATATTTTATATTTGCAGATCTTGATACATTTATAGTCAGTACGTCCTTGGAAATTGTTCCAAAATATGAGTGTGTATCAAAGTTAAAATATTACTCATAATCTCTAGAACATGTTTGAATGTTTTGAATCACTGCAGTTTAGAATTAGCAGTCCTTTAACTCTTTTAAAGACAACAGAACTGGCAGCCATGGCACCCCATAACTATTTAGTGTACAATACCAGTCAATGTAATTAATTACTACCTCCCCCAACCCAGAAGTAGGCAGTTTTCACTTCTCAGCACTGTCACTATCTGTAAATATCTGTGTGTAAATATCTGGTTTTGTCTCAGTGACCCTGCTTTGCCCCATACTTTGGGATTTGAGCAGCCAGGGATTTATATTGTCTGGTATTGGTACATAGTTTACCATAATCAGAGGATATTATTGAAAGATTTCCCTACCAATTCACTGCCTTAAAAGCATTATATTATTTGCTCTGTGTGTGTGTGTTACTTTAAGTGTACTCTGGTTCCAGAGGCTCTTTGCGAGGCGAAAGAAACAAGATGCAAGAACGGAGAGCCTCTGGTCACATCAGGGCCGTATCACCAGGGGGCAGTAAGGCTTATAATTATGCTGAAAAAAGTTCCAAATATCCAAAGAATAATTAATAATGACATTCTAAAAATTGTAAATATAGTTTTCTTTAGGAGGGCAGTTTCCCCCTCCTGCCGCCCCCTCCCCTGTGCTGTGTACAGCCCAGGGTCACTGTCCATTGCGAATCCCACTTCCACACTTGATTAGGTTCAGCATTTGAATTTCACATGTGATTGCCCATTTGTAAAAATATGCCAAACTGGCTTGGGAAATAAACATTACTGTAAGCTAATTATAGCCTGTATTAAAATATTCTATTAAACTCAACCAAGAATGTATTACATGTCCTGCAAAACTGATTAATGTTGATATGTTTATCTCCTGAGAAATTTAATACCTTTTCACCTGCGGGAGTATTAATATTCATGTTTGGTTGAGTTTACTATAATACTTGGGGCTTTTTAATTGGGGCTTCGGTGGCCAAGTGGTTAGCGCACTTGCCTGTCACCTCTGAGGCTGCAGGTTCAGAGATCCAGTGCACAGGCGGCCCAATCTCGCAAGGGTCAGTATAGATTTTATAGATTTTATACCATAGAAGCTTTATACAGTATAAATTTATATTATATTATATTATATTAATTGTATATTATAGTAAAAATATGTCGTAAAATATAAATTTTAAAATGAAATTTACTTGCCTATTTGCTAGTGTGTGTTCTCCTTTTATTCCTCCTTTGTTGGACTAATATTTTCCGAGACTTTGTACTCCATGTTACTAGTATACATGAAACATGATAAAGGCTAACTATTCCCGATCGTCGATACGACGGCACGGCACTTCGAATCGAAAATTCTCACACTCAAATCGCTTTATTCTCCAAAAAAATTCGCCAGCATGTACAACAAATGCCGTTCTTCGAAAATACGGAAGTACTTCGGCGAGATGTACAAGTTTTGGACCATATTTTAACAATGGAAATCAAAACCCATTTTATATTGAACTTACCCGGACCGAAAATTACTACGGCGAACGTCTGCGCAACCAGGCCTCCTTTACCGTTGGATTTACAGGGGGGAAGCAGATATTTCCGATAACAGCCAGCCAATCGCGGCCGCGTAGCGACTGTTTACATTATTTGAAATTTGATATTCAAAATAAAAACTCCTTCGATCGGATACTGTATAAAACTCGAGATGTTGTCGAAGAAACGAAAACTAAACGACGGAGATTGAAGAAATTTAAGGAAGAAGTAATATACAGCGGCTCTTTGTTGGAAAGGCTAAGCATGGTAGAATATGATACTTTAATTCGAAATATTATCGTGAATACATTAGTGGCATCCTCCCCCCCTGTAAATCCAACGGTAAAGGAGGCCTGGTTGCGCAGACGTTCGCCGTAGTAATTTTCGGCCTGGGCAAGTTCAATATAAAATGGGTTTTGATTTCCATTGTTAAAATATGGTCCAAAACTTGTACATCTCGCCGAAATACCTCTGTATTTTCGAAGAACGGCATTTGTTGTACATGCTGGCGAATTTTTTTGGAGAATAAAGCGATTTGAGTGTGAAAATTTTCGGTTCGAAATGCCGTGCGGTCGTATCGACGATCGGGAATGGTTAGCCTTTATCATGTTTCATGTATACTAGTAACATCGAGTACAAGGTCTCGAAAAATATTAGTCCAACAAAGGAGGAATACAAGGAGAACACACACTATCAAATAGGCAAGTCAATTTCATTTTAAAATTTATATTTTATGACATATTTTTACTATAATATACAATTAATATAATATAAATTTATACTGTATAAAGTCTATACTGACCCTTGCGAGATTGGGCCGCCTGTGCTCCGGTGTATATTTACACTATCATGGTGTTATCCCATACACAAGAATTGGGTAAATTTACACTTGTTAAGGGTAAATTTACACTGCAATAATAGAGAATACATTAGTTTCCACTTCACCTCAGCTCCGTGTATTTTAACGCGTTCTAGGTGTAATGATACACCAGGAAAAGTGTAAATTTACACTTCGCAAGTGTTGGTATACTTTACACCGAAAAGGTGTATATTTACACTATCGCAATGTGTAAATTAACAGGGAAAGAGGTAATGTTACACCGTTCTAATGTAAATCTACACCGAATTAGGTGTAAATAGAATATTTTCTACTTTACACCTAGTAAGTGTTACCGAGACACTAAAATAGTGTAAAGTTACACTGTGGAAGGGTAATGTTACACTCGAACGGTGTTTAATTCCGCGTTACACCTAATTAGTGTAATGTTACACCTTTTTGGTGTTGCCGCAACACCGCGAGATTTACAGTGTATATATATATATATATATATATATATATATATATATATATATATATATATATATATATATATATATATATATATACATTTTAAGACCTGACCAGGAACGACTGCGAAAAATGCAGCACAAGGTCCTCTGGTAGGAATTGAACCTACGGCCCTGCGATTCCGGTGCAGCGCTCTAACCAACTGAGCTACAGAGGCCAGCTGTGACATACACTCTCACAGTATTATCTGTGAGAGATACACTCTCACAGTATTATCATACATCATACATATCAGAGAGACATACACTCTCACAGTATTATCTCATCACACAGTATTATCTGTGACATACACTCACAGTATTAGTAGTGCACAATATAATACAAACAGGGAATCTTTTAAAATAAATTCATAGTTAATCTTACCTAATTGAATCATTTGAGTGTGAATATTTCTATCAGCTAAATGAACTGCAAATAATTTGTCTATAATATTTCGAATACGCACGGCGAACTTATAACCTTTATACTAGCATATATTCAAAACAAAATTCAATATCTCGATATTTATGGTATATTTTGATCTACTTTATAAAAAATTTGTATCGTGTTCTCTTTTTATCACATTTTATTTATGGGTACAAAGCTTTTGGAAAGACGCGATGAATAATGCGTCAAAGCCGCAGCGGATACGTGAATGAGTATAGAATATACACGTCGCGTCAAAGTATTCGACCGCAATCTATTCCCAGCCATACAGGCTTCCTATATTGCATCATAACAGGTGCGGTTACCATGCAAGCTCCCAAAGAAAGTGATCCCCCCAAAAATTTATGCTCGCGGATTTAGTCACACAACTCCTAATATACGAAACTCGCCATTTTCCGGGCACTCTAAAATGACGGAACAAGCTGCGACCATGCGCGCAAAGCATTACCGTGAGACTCATTCTTTAAGAAGGAAATGATAATTAAGAATTTAAACGCTTGATACTTTGCGTTGTTCGAAGTCCGTTTAGCGTTATCCACCAGTAAAATTTCATCTATCCAGTGGATAAAGGTAAACGGTGTATTGGCGTACAGATTACCTGGATTCCATATTTATGATCTTCCGAGAGTAAATAGACGAGCCGATAGAGTTTAAAGGCGTGAAATAGACGACGTATTGATGTACTACAGCGAAAACGAGTTACAAAAATATTTCGGTACAAAAATACTATTTAGGTTTACAGCAGTTCTGAAACCGGAATCTTTCGTTCTAGTGTGGACAAGGTCGGAATTTTTCATCTCATGGATCTATTCCTTTAATAACATTTTATTATTTGGGTTATTCAAACAAAATATTAATATATATTTACAATTCTAAATCCATTAACAGCTCCACGTTTTCGGCATGTCCCTCCGTGCTTTATAGTATCTTGGTGAGCCAGGACTTGGCCAGCTAAAGAAATTCAAAGTAAGTTCATTTTGGAGGGTTGAACCATTATGTGGAGCATGGCAAATACTGGTACGGATATACTCGTAGGCTCATATCCTGGACTTGTAGCTGCTGATTTTAACAATCATTTTAACAATAGCAATAATTTAGATTTGTTTGTATGCATGCTACTGTTTTGTTTGCGTATGTGTGCTACTGCATATTGCGTGCTACTGTTGTAATTTGGAGGCGCGCCTCTGTGAAGGACTCCGAATCCTTTTGATCACTTTCCTGTTGATTCTGTCACATATATATATATATATTACATCTATCCCAAGTTTGAGGTTTAGAACCGACTTACATAGCTCCATAGTTGAGGAGGTTTTCGCACAAGATTTGGTCAGTTTCATATTGCCGATCAAGATTTTCCACATTTTGTCGAGAAGTTTAATCTTAATCGGGAATTCGTTTATATGGCAAGTATTTGTTTCGATGAATCGCGCAATTTGATTGGCTGGTGACGAGGCAGGATTTTCCCCTATTGCATGCCCACGGGCAATACGCAATTTTTATTGCCCTACGAAAGCCGAGTTTCAAACGGCAAAAAGTGTAAAAGACGTTCAAACTATTCAAAACGAAGAAAAATAAACCTAAAATAGAGAAAAGGAGCAACTGCTGTGGTTAAAGAACTTTCTCAAATCTGAATACGTTTTTGTTAGCGAAAGTCGAAATTTCAAGGTTAATTTTACAACGTGTTTAACTATTAAATCAATCAAGAATAGTTGTGTTTTGACTATATGAAGAGCTGACAATTTTATTTGCAGATGTCCAAGAGGAATCTGACATCATCTAAATAAAAATTACAACTAAACCAGCCACATATTTATAAATTTTGCCAGAAAATTTCTGCTTTTTTAGATAAAAAGAGACATATATATATGAGATGAAGCGAACTGAAAACGTACTTGTCGATGTAGCCCGCGTGCAGGCCCAAGAGAACTGATAGTGGGCCTGCAAGCAAGGCCCGGTATTTTGTAAAACGCCCCTTTTCATAACACGCCCCATTCGCGCGTCAATTGTCAAAAAAGAACCAATGACAGCACCCAAATATTAACAAACAAACTCGCATTAAAATGTTGCGGGGTTTTCTCTGCTTATTCAGAACATAAACAATGTGTAAATGGCTGCGTTTTAACTCCAAAAAAGCAAGCAACGCAGTCAGTAATTGCCAAATTTGCAAGTGCTCATTTTCAACTAAAATCGGAACAGGAAAATTAGGACGAATTTCAACAGAAAACCAGTCTCAAACTTCAAATCGTGAGGGAAGTCGTGCGACCACATTAGCATTTATAATGTGTGCTTCGCTGTCGCCATTGTTATAAATAAATTGTCTCATCAGATCGTGTGTGCAATTCTTGTTGGCTGCGGAAAGTACGAAATTTATTTCAGTTATTTCATTTGGTAAAGAACTCTACAAAAGTAAAGAAGAGAGCGTTCAGAGTCCAGATCGTTTCGTTTCAAACGGCAATTTAATACCGTCTTCTGTTTCGCTCTCTCAGCGAAGCCTTGTAAATCGCAAAGTGTTTCGAATATGCTTACATGCAACTGCATGTCAACATCAACCACCAAAAGATAATTTTCTTGAGGAACATATAACGTATCAAGTCTGTTTGAAATTAATGAAACTCAAGTAAAGGTTACTATAGTTTACCCCAGTCGTAATGTTGCTATTCCAACACCTCACGACAAGCAATCCCCATTGCATAACGGCAAAAATATCTCTTCCTTCAAGTAAACAATAAACAGTCTGTTCTTGTACCATTTATAATCGAAAAATGTGATCAATTTTCGAATTTTAAGCTTATCGAGAGCCTTTGTGATGAATCACTGACCTAAGTATAGAATCCAACAGCAAACAGCCAATCAGAGTGCCGCGTTCGTGGGCGAACGCGGAAAGTACAAAATACCGGGCTTTGCTTGCAGGCCCACTATCAGTTCCCTTGGGCCTGCACGCGGGCTATTGTCGATGCTGTTTATTCATTTTATTTGTTGTCTTTGATTAAATGACAAAATACCTCGTATTTATCTTGAAATACTATCTGTGTTAGTATTCTATTGTTAGTATTCTACAGTTGTTTTTTTTTTTCAAATGTTACAAACTTTGTACTTTCCCCTCGCGTGACCCAGGGCTTTATCCAAAGACTTTTACTGACCCCCATTTTAGAAAAGAATATTCAGTTTTTGTGACGCACGAATGTAGCAAAGGGGCAAAGTCCCTGAAAGCTTTTGCTATTTCAGCATCTTAGACTATGCTGCCACCACGTTGCTCCGATTGACTGCGTCATGGTTTGTGAATGATGTAATCTTATATAAACATTGCGCAATACCAAAGACGCCATGCATCAATGTAGTATAGTATTCAAGCGTATTTTTTCTGTAGCTTTTTCACTCTCCCAGCTCAAGGTTGTGTAAATTTTAGATTTTAGTTAAAAAAAATTTACTTTCTATTTGTAATATTTGATATTCTTCAATCATCCCATTTCATTTTGTGCTGATTTGATCGAAATTTTTATTAGAAATCCAAACATGCATGCCATCTAAGCATGGTGGCCACAAGACACAAAATATACGACAGAGGCAGAGTTGTAACTTAACACTCAGCCGGGGCAAGTGAATATCATGACGGGCAAGTAAACATTTTATCTTGCTTGCCCGATTGGGCAAGTTACCTGGCCATACAAATAAAGCTGGGCATCTTTAAGTTTATGTTTTCATTGTCGGATAATTTTTTTAGTGCGTATACTTGATTCAAATTTTGTTTTTGTGGGCCAAGCTGGATCTGAGGCAGTGTAACATAGGGCGCTTTCCATTAACACGGCCAGACCGTTCAGAACGGCCAAACTGTTGAATGGAACACAAAACGTTTGGGCTTCGGACCTATCTGACCGGAAAATTTTGATAAAATTAGAATGAGGTCCATTTTCGCTAGATATTTGAGAAACATAGACCAGATGTTTCCATTTACACAGAGACTCAAATTCGGGTATGACCGGTCAGGCCATTAAATGGAAAGAGGTCAGTTGGTGCTTGGATAAAGCCCTGTAACCTTTTCCCCAATTTTCACAAACGTACAATGCCATAAAATAAAAGAAACTTGCTGACCTCAACCGTTCAGGCAGTACGGGAAAATATTCAACCTCGGTCTTGCTGTATTGACCTCGCTATCGCTCGCTCAATACGGCAAGTCCTCGGTTGCATGATATTTTCCCGTGGCAGCAATACGGAAAAATCCTGCCTCGTCAGCAGCCAACCAAATTGCCCAATTCATCAAAACATATGCTTGCCATTATTACATATATTATTAGGTGCCTTTATCAGGGCGATAACAGGGTGACATAAAAACGATGCCATCATTCATATATTTTTTTCAATGATATCGTTTTTGTGACTGATATATTGCTTTTTGTCCCGTAATATTTGTCGCTGTCAAAACGCTGATGGCTGACTCGCGGTTTGTATTTAGTCGATGTTGACAGCTTTTATTATCGAATACAGCAATGATAATACAAAGTGAAGAACAGAGAGCGACCTGCCGCTATTCAAATAGAAGTTTAACTTATTAATTGTTTGTTTTTGTTAAGTTCTATCTGCTAAGTTTATTATTTAAATAATTGTTTCATTCGGGAATGATAATTCTGACCCTGATAAAGGCACAAGTGTATAATAAACAGGTTCTCATAATCGGGGCGAGGTGAAGTCAGTTTTATGGCTTTCAGAACGATATCATAAATGTCCCTCGTATGAAACTGATATCACCTCATCCCTCATATGATAACCTACATTTATAATTTATTCACCGGTTATAACTTGTATACATTCCGCGGTACATCAAAGAAAACCGACAGAACTTATGATAGTAATTAATGCGAGGTATACATACGCCTGACGAGTATTCTTTGTAAAAGATCGCACCATCCTCTGCCAACGAGAAATGTATGGATATGCAACAGGATCAATTACCGTTGTTTTAATGGTACGGAAGACGTCTAGGTCCACTTTGCTGGGTAGAACTCTGCCAAGAAAAGTACAGAAGATTTTTGAAAAAATATTCTATATCGAGAGTAAAAATGGAAAAAAAGTTTTGTAAAGGACATAAGGGACCGGTCATAAAGTAATAGGGAACTTTAGATTTGACTACGAGTACGACTACGAGTACGAGATTTCAGATTTGATCGCGTGCGAGGAAATTACCGTAGTCGTTTTCGTTTCCATTCAAATCGGTTGCTTTTATAGCAGTAAACCAACAACGAGAGAAAAAGTTTCATAAACTAAATCTCCTGCATACTAAAATCCCCTACAAAACGTGAAAATAAGTTTTAACATTAAAAACAGGCCAGATATTTAGTACTAATATATTATTTGCGCCGGATAAACGCTATATACATGCTACAAATTATTTTTGGTAAACAAAAAAAGCCAACTTTCTTTGTTTTTTTTGAAAAGTCGTCGTGAGGACTACGAGGTTTCTCCACAATTTCGTACTCAGATGGGCGACGGCTACGACTTTTTCGCGTCAGTACGGGATGGCGTAAGCATACAGCATGTGTTTAGCTTGACGAATCTCGTACTCGTAGTCGTACTCGTAGTCAAATCTAAAGTTCCCTAATTACTAGAGGGGGGTGGAGGATAAATGAAATTTCATATTTCAGAAGTACATATTTTCATACCCTCCCAAAAACCAAATGGAAAAATTTTCGTAACCCTCTTCAATGTAAGTGAAAATATTTATTACCCCCTCCTATCATTAATTCTGTTTGGACATTTCTCTTGCATTTATCCCACTAGTGGTAACCATATCCTCAACATTTTCCGCAGTCTCAGATTCGTCACCTGTCTTTTCTGATTCTGACATACTAGCGATGAGCTGAGAGTAAGATCAAACCGAAAAAAATGTTTTTGGTTTATTTCCAATAGAAAAAAATTGCTTCCATTCGTATGACACATTCTCATCAGGTTCATCAAGTTCTAATGCTGGTGTGAGCTTGCTAGCATTAGCAATTCATGTGCATTTGTACTCCAAAAGTTCAACGGATACTGAATCCTACTTATCATCTGACACTGAGTCAGACTAAAACATATACCTTGTGTTGATTTAAAGCAATTCTTTCCAAACTTAAATCTGGGCACAAATACATTCAATATTCAACAATAGTTATAAAATGTAATTTTTTCCGTAGCTATAGTACTAGGATTTTGTACCCCCCCCCCCTCCTCCCCTAGAGGTTCTGTTGTTGTTTTCGTACACCCCTCAGAGGTTCTCTTTTTCGTACCCCCCGTGAACAAAATACATTCAGAAACCGTTGTTGTAAAAATATAGTTTCAAGGTTGCTGTGAAACCCAAAACAAAATACAAAATATAAAATATAAAGGCAAACTGTTTTATAACATATTATATATGGAGTTCAATGATTAATCTTTTTAAACATAGACGATTACTTTTCATATTTTTTCTACTTTGCTTGAACATAAGGCAAAGCTTTTGAAAGCACAGTTTCCTTAAGGCAAAGCTTTTGAAAGCACAGTTTTCGACGATTATTTAGGTGATTTATATTCATCTACAAAACATGATAACACTTCATTTAGTTTGAAGAAAAACGAAACCAGTCGAAGAATGAACTATCTGATGTAATTTCATAAGATAGATTAGCAAAACAGTGAGGCTCAGAGCATACAATTATACAAAAACGTTTTAAGAGTATATTATGTTTACGCGAAATTATACTTTAAGGAATTATGATTTTCACCGTGGTTCCCGATTAATTGAACAGTCTGTAAAATGTCTACACGAGATAATTCGCACTTTATTCCGAATAAAGAAACACAAAAATAGCCTAAATATCGTCACACTTTTTGTAGTCGAAAAAATATAAACTAGAACGTTCAAGCTACGTTTTGTCGCCTGCGCGACTATTTCAGCGGTCATCATAACAAGTACGTCATATAATAATATCGTTCGTTATCATCTCTCTCCCGAATGCAACGCATTCGATTCCACTTAAAGACAATAAATAAAGGGGTTAACGATGTCAATGAATACTAAAAATACGACTTAATTAACGTCCTTTCTGTTCACTTCTATAAACGCTTCAGTTATCTATTTTCATTGTCCGAATGTCCAACAACATACTCGACACAATCGATGTATAGGACGGAAATATTCTTTGTTCCTGGATTTCACCTTTACAATTCGGACTAGGCCGTCGCTTCCCTGATACGCTTCGATCACACGGGCAAGAGGCCATTCTCCCCTACTTGCTTTGGGTTCAGCAATCAATACCACATCGCCTTGTTTCAGGTTATGTTTGGGATGAAACCATTTCTTGCTTACATTAAGGCGTGGAAGGAATTCCTTTCTCCAGCGCTTCCAGAACAGCTGTAACAATTGTTGTACTAGATGCCAGCGATTCCTAGGGTTATTCACTTCAACTTGATCAAGAGCTTCAGGAGGAAATACCGCACCGATCTGTCCGACTATAAAATGATTTGGAGTAAGTGGTGACGGGTCGTTTGGATCTGAACTCTCATAAGTGATGGGCCGTGAGTTTACCAGTCTTTCAGCTCCACACATTGCGGTCGGAAGATCTTCATCCGTCACATCTGTATCTCCTAGGACAATCTTTATTGCCTTCTTGGCGCTATTTATCGTAGCCTCGAAAACCCCTCCAAAATGAGGGCTCGATGTAGGATTGAATTTTCAGTCAATAGGCTGATACTTGGTGGTTTCTTAGGCAATCTTGTCGTGGTTAAGAGCTTGAAATAATTCTCTCATCTCCCGCTCTGTGCCCACGAAATTGGTCCTATTGTCAGATATAACATATACGGGCGTCCCCCTCCTCGATACCATTCGCGTAAAGGCATAGATGGATGAAGCCGTGTCTAATAAATATGACATCTCAAGGTGAACAGCCTTTGTCGCTAGTGAATAGGCATAGGTATCTCTTTGCTTTGGCTTTGCCTCGTCCTTACTTCGTTAGAAATGGGCCTTCATAATCCACTCCGACTCTTTTGAAAGCTCGTAACGATTGAAGCCGCGGTCTGGGCAGCGGTGCCATCTTCTGCTCTGCTGTTTTTACAGAAAAACTTCGTGGATATTGCGCACATGACTCAACAATATTCCTTACCGCGCGTCTTCCTTTAACGATCCAAAAACGACTTCGCAGCAGTGCTCAACTCCGTAACCTTGTCCGAGTTCTTCATGTGCATCCTTGATAATGAGTCGGTTCACCACGTGCTCCTTTGGCAATAAAATGGGGTGTCTTGTATTGTAGGATAGTTCATCCGCAAGTCTTAAGCGTCCGTCCATCCTCAGAAGACCATATTCACCGTTCTTTGGACTAAGTCGCAGTAAACATCCTTGTCGCTCTCCTTACAGGAAACCTTCTCCTTGGGCTTGCTTGATCTACCACTTTTTCACATTAAGTATTTCAGTTGAACAAAGCGTTCTGTCCCGTTTTCGTATTTCCCTTGGAAGTCTGCAGTTTGTAAAGAATCGTTCAACCTATCCAGTCACACGACAAAGGCGACGGAAGATAGAGAAATGGTTTGGATCAGCGCCCAGGTTAACGCGCGTCTGGACCATGTACGTCCGCGCCACTGTCTTTTCAACCGAGCTCCAAAAGTTTTCGTCTCCTCTCTAACGGGGGGCGCTGATGGCCCCGAGATCTCGACATCTTTCAAGAACGTTGGTCCTTCCAGCCAAAATGTGCTTCAGGCTAGTTCCATAGCAGATTGACCTCGGGTCGCTAGATCTACTGGATTCTGTATCTCAGGTACATGACTCCATTGCTCGGGACTGGTCGTCCGTTGAATCTGTGCGATACGGTTGGCTACGAAGGGTTTAAACTGCCAGCTGTGGTTTCGTACCCAATAACACACATGCTCGGAATCAGTCCAAAAGATCACTCGGTCGACAGTCGGGGACTTTCAGAAGACTTTGAGCTAAACGGCTTGAGAGAATGGCACCCATGAGCACCAGTCTGGGAATCGTCATCGCTTTGGTGGGGGCTACACGGCTCTTTGATGCGACAAGGCGTGATGTAGGGCTATCGTCTTCATATTGGCACACCAAATAAGCGACTGATGCGTAGGCGTCTTTAGAGGCATCCGAGAGCAGGTGTAGTTCCATCTTATTCGGGTTTGCGAGGCGTAAGCAGCATGGTGGGGCGACATGCGATAACTGCGAAAGTTCTGTAGTCCAGTTCTTCCACTTAGTTGCTAGATCACTTGGAAGGTTGTCATCCCAATCCAACCCTGCTCTCCTCTCCTGCATGAGAATTTTAGCCCAAACAAGGACTGGCGAGAGAAACTGAAGGGGGTCGTATACAACAGCTGTGGCGCTCAGTACATTACGTTTCGTAGTGGTTTTTTTCGCATCAGGAGGTTCCACTCAGAAGGTGAATACATCTCTTTCAGGATCCCACAAGACTCCCAGAGTCTTGGTTTTAGACGGCTCTTCTTTGTTAATTTCAACAGCAGATAACCGGTCACTCTCGGGGATGCTTGCGACAACTGATGGCTCGTTCGAAGACCATTTCCGCTATAGTCTTATTTGACTTTATTTGACTTTATTAAAAACGGGACTATTTCACCAACATATTTACAAAAATTAAGACGGGTGATCTTCCAATAGGCCGTATATAGCTATACTAGTTACACATATACTACAGTATCTAATAATAATAACTAAATTACACACAAATTACACACTTACAGTTAGACTATTTTTAAATGTAGAGATACTTGTTTTAGCTTTTATGTCAGCAGACAGATTATTCCAAGTCTCAGCTCCTCGA